CCAACACAGGCTTGATCTCGGAAGAGCACAGGGTGCCCTCATCCCACCAGGAGTGATCCCTGAGCCAGGAGTGAAATGTAGCAACATTGGGTATGACCCCAAAACCACAAAAATAATTGCAAATAAAAATCATCACTCTCTGCTGCGTGAACACCTCACAAATGAGTCGTTTCTTTTGCTTAGAATGCTGATTTCACACACTCTCTTCTCTCTCCTACCTCTCAGCGCGCCTGGAACCGATAGAAAGTCAGTAACCAGAGAGCACATAGCAGTGAGAGCTGGGCCCGTTGGAAGCACAGCCCTTGCTCTGCAGCTGAGACAGGGTGCAGGAAGGGGCCGCGTGTGGCCCCCCAGGGAGGACAGTCCCTCTTGGTAACAGGAGCTGAGTCTTCTGTGGCTTACTCTTCCTGTGGCTCAGACTCAGGGGTGGCGCCTTCAGCACCCTGTTTCCTAACACCCTTTCCACCTGGCTCCCTGCAGCCTAGGACCCAGAGGGTTCAGAGGCTGGGGAGGGCCAGCCCTGTGCCCAGAGCCTCCCTTACACTCAAGCCAGAGTCCCACTGTACGCTCGTTCCTCTCTGCTGCCCTCCCACATCCCTCTAAAACGGCCCTGTTTGTTTAAAATGGCAGCTGGGAACTTATAGGTGTGGGAGGAAAAAATTGTCAGGCGAAAAAGACAGTACAGGGGGTCCGACGCTTGCCTTGTTCGGCCAGCCTGCGTTTAATCTAGGAATGACCCCTGAGCATCACTGGGTGTGGCCAAATCACTTGATCACTTGACATCCTGTTACTCATCCACTTGCTTGAGTGGCCGCCAGTAACATCTCCATTCGTCCCTGTTGCGTGCCAGTGTAGCCTAAGGACGTCTGCTCGTTCTAGGAACATGAACAGCCTCAAACCGATCGTTCAGGATCTTGACAAAGAAGTCTGACCATCTCATAGGTGGGCGGCCACGCGATCTTTTGACGTCCCACGGAATCCATTCAGTAATGGCTCTAGTCCAGTGGTCATCTCCAAATCTCATTACGTGTCCAGCCCATCTGATTTTCGACGCCTTGGCAAACGAGACAGCATCCCTGATTCTTGACCATCGATGGAGGTCGGAACTCCAGATTCTTTCTCTCATTTGTGTGACACGAGATACTCCAAGCATAGCTCTTTCGATTCCTCTTTGGGAGACCCGAATAGCATTCTCATCCTGTTTTCGTAGGGCCCAGGTCTCTGAGGCGTATGTTAATGCAGGAAGAACAGTGGAATTGAAGAGATGTGCCCAGAGCCGGAGATTCTTCCTCCTCTTAGCTATTTCTTCGACTTTCTTGAAAGCCACTCCCTTCTCCTGCGCAATTCAGGTGCCAGGTCATTCGTCATGTTGACTTCTCGACCTAGGTACACATAACTGTTGCATTCAGAGATGTTCGTCGGGTTGAGAGTGAATGGAACATCAGGAACAAGACCTTTTCTCATAAACTTTGTCTCCGTGAGATTCAGCTGTAGTCCAACCTTTCCACACTCACAGTTGAAATTGGCCAGCATTTGTGCCACTTGGCTGATGTTTGGTGTTATAAGAATGATGTCATCAGCAAAGCAGAGGTGGTGTAGTTGCCGACCGTCTATATTCACTCCTATTTCTTCCCATTCCAGTCGTTGCATGACATTCTCGAGGGTGGCACCGAAGAGTTTCGGTGAAATAGTATCACCCTGCCAAACCACTCTCTTGATGTCAATGATCACTCCCTATAGAATGGTGAGATCCTGAGAGTGAATCCACAATACAGCTCACGGAGGATCCTGATGACTTTGAACGCCCAGTTTGGCTAGGGCTTCAATGACCACTTCAGTCTCAACAGAATCAAAAGCCTTCTTTAAATCAATGAACGTTAGACAGAGCAGCATCTTAACTTTCTCGGGAGTGGCCAAATAAGAAAAAAAAATTAAATTTCAATTTTACATGGGGCTGATGTGATAGCACAGCAGTAGGGCGTTTACCTTGCACACAGCTGGCCCAGCCAACCCAGTTCAATTCCTCTGTCCCTCTCGGAGAGCCCGGCAAGCTACCGAGCTACTGAGAGTATCTCACCTGCACGGCAGAGCCTGGCAAGCTACCCATGACATATTCGATATGCCAAACACAGTAACAACAAGTCTCACAATGGAGACGTTACTGGTGGCCACTCGAGCAGATCGATGAGCAATGGGAAGAGAGTGCTACAATTTTACATGCTTTGGTGGTAGTATATCATGATTTCAGAAAATTGATGGAACTGTATTGCATTAGGAATAGCCAATGTATCACAATGTAAAATAGTGCATTATTGATTATACTGTGTATATGAAAGGGTATTAATCTCCAGCACGACGGAAACTAACGCTAATGGTGCCCCGTGTGTCAGAAACCGCTGGTAATTGCTTGTCTGAGGAATGATTCTGCCATGCCCGACTCCCAAGGTACAGCTGAGGCGTCCCTGGAGTGGGTCCCTGTGCCCCAGGGCTGACCCAGCGGTGGTTCCCGAGCTCCAGGCTGATAATAAGGACAGGCGAGGGGACGGCCCAGTCTCAGCGCGTCCCTCACACACAGCCGTCGTGACGGCACTCAGAGAGAGACAGCCGCAGACGCTGGTGAATGCCACATGCGGCCTCTGCCCCTGGCACCTGCCACCTTGGCCCCCTCACTCTCCCCAGGTTCCGTGCTCCCTCAGCCCCGGGCTCACTCCCCGCTCTGAGGTCCCCAGACTGCATCGCCCCGCCTCTCCTAAGGGTGCTCCTGGGAGCCGCCCCTGGCCTTTGTCTCGGATTCTTCAGGGCTCCCTTCCCAGGGCCAGATCACAGCCTCGGCGGACACACCACAGCTGCACACGTGTGGGAGGAAGAGCGTCGGCGCGGGCTGGAGACCCCCGGCTGCCCGGCTCGTGTCAGAGCGGCCCAGTTCCACAGTAGGCACGGTGTCACAGTGAGCCCAGGGCGGCAGGGGAAGGTGGGTGCTCTCTGCGGGTAAAAGACCCCTCTCAGGCAGTCTGCAGCTCAGGAACTCACGCCCACGTTTACTCCAAATGGTCCTGCTGCCACCCGGAGCTTCTCTGACTTGCTCTTGGGGTCACACTCGGGCAGCCTCAGTCAGGAGGGTGGAGGCCAGACCCCCACCCCTGGGCGCAGCGGGCGAGAGGGCAGCGGTGTCATGGCCCTTTCAATCCAAGGCACCACCAGGCACAAGGAGAATCTTCGTCCAAAATGCACTGTAACGAAAGCACAGCCTTGTCAGAGCTTGCTTTTCCGTCTCCGAGGAAATATGCAGTCTCAGAGGGTCTGCCTGCCCGTTTAGGGTCCTCCAGGTGGACTGGAGCTCATCACGGAAGGTTTTTTTTTCTTTTTGGGTCATACCCGGCGATGCACAGGGGTTACTCTTGGCTCTGCGCTCAGGAGTTACTCCTGACGGTGCTCAGGGGACCATATGGGATGCTGGGAATCGAACCCGGGTCGGCCGCGTGCAAGGCAAACGCCCTACCCGCTGTGCTATCTCTCCAGCCCCACGGAAGGTTGTTTTTTATCTTTTCAGCCAGCCACGTTGCCTTTTCCTTCTCTGCCCCGATGAGCTACGTCTTCTCGGGTCCCTCTCAGCACTCTGGGAGGGGGGTGTGCAGAAGCCTCCCCCCTCCTGTGGTATCCACAGCAGCCCTGCATGTGTGGGAGGGATACAGCCAGCCTTGAGGTGGGGGGCCCAGTGTGGGGTCCAACCCCCCCCCCGTGTCAACAGGCAGATGAGAGGGATGGTCTGAGGTCTCAGGGGCCTGAGTGCCACCTTCACGGCTGTGTGGCCCTGCCCAGGGGTCCTTGGGGGCCCCATCTAGTGTGTCTCAGAACCTAGACATGGGGGGCCTGACGTGGGCCTCTGAATCTCGTGTAGACCCCAGACACTGCAGGGCCCGATCTCTGAGCCAGGAGTGGCCCCTGGGAGCCACCAACATGACCCGTCCAAAAAGGAAAAACAGAAAAGTGCTAATCTGCATGGAATGTGGCTGGAGAGATCACACAGGGGTGTGTGACCAAGCCAGGTCGTGTCCCCGGCATCCCAGATGGTCCCCGAGCCCCACCAGTAGGGATCTCTGAGCTCCACCAGATGTGCCCCAGAAACAGGACAGGAAAATCCCCGTGCCGGCCTCTCCGAGTGCCCTGCCCACCTCGCAGAGACTCCACGAGCCCCTTGAGCACCGTTCAGAGTCCCTGAGTCGGTTCACGGCTGACAGAGAACCCTCAGGGCACGTCCGGCTCTCGTCCCCAGCTGTGTCCAAGGCAGAGCATTCCTGGCCCCACTTCCCACTCACCGTGCACCCCTAGGGTGGGCTCAGGGGCTCTCCTGTGTGTCCATCTGCAGAGAAAGTCTCCCTGCTCAGTCCTCCTTAACAGGGAGTGGCCACCACAAGGGGTGAGCCCCCCACAGGGTCCCAGAGTTCCCTGAGACACAGCAGCTGAGGGTCTTGGGGGCGTCTGCCCAGCAGGGCCAGCCTGAGCGGGGCCGGTGCCCTCTGCTCATGAGCAGGGGCCAGAAACCCACTGCCCCTCGTGCCCAGCACAGCACCCTCAGTGCTGGACAGGGCAGCCACATTCTCCTGCCATGAGGCATGACTTTAAAGGTCTCAACCCTCCTGTTTCCCCGGGTTTTGTTGAGAGATGATCGGTTTTGTAGCTCAATGATGGGCAGACGAGGCGTGCAGGGGCCTGTGCAGGGGCCGTATGAGGGAGCCCGGCACAAAGCAGACGGATGTAGCTGAATGGGCAGTACACGGGGGGAGATGCAAGATCTCCAAGCAGTAACTAGGAGGTGGGCAGGTGAAGGTGGGTCAGTGACATCCAGACGGTGGACGGCAGAGGAAAGAGGATGGAAAAGTGGCCGGTGGTCCTCCGGGGACAGTGCAGGTGAGCGTGTCCACAGGCCACCCGCCCCGGGCTCAGGTCCCCCTTCTCCCTCTCTGTCCCCATCCCAGCTGCCTGAGGAGGAGCCTGCCACCATGGCCAACGACACGGTCGTCACCGAGTTTGTCCTGCTGGGCTTCTCCGATGCCTCTGGTCCACAGACCCTGCCTGGCTCACTCCTCCTCCTGGCGTTCCTGGCGGCCCTGCTGGGGAACGGGCTCCTCGTGGCCCTGGCCACGTGGGACCCGCAGCTGCACACCCCCATGTACTTCTTCCTGAGAAACCTCTCCTTCATTGACCTCTGCTTCATCTCTGCCACCGTCCCCAAGTTCGCGCTCAATGCCCTAGTGGGCAGGAGGACCATCTCCCTCCCGGGCTGCGTGCTCCAGGTGCTGGCTGCCGTGTGCTTCGCGTCGGCAGAGGTGGCCGTGCTCACGGTCATGGCCTACGACCGCTACGTGGCCATCTGCCGGCCACTGCACTACGAGGCCGTCATGAGCCCCGGGGCCTGCGGCCACATGGCGGTGGCCTCGTACCTCAGTGGCGGGATCTCGGGGGCCATGCACACCTCGGCCACCTTCTCCACGGGGTTCCGCACCAATGAGATCCACCATTTCTTCTGCGACATCCCACAGGTCCTGCTGCTGGCGGACGCGTCGTCGGCACGCCTGGGGGAGGCGGGCGTGACGGCGCTCACGGCAGGCACCGCGCTCGGCTGCTTCGCCTACATCTCCTCCTCCTATGCCCGCATCTTCTCCGCGCTCCGCAGCCTGGCCTCTGCTCAGGGCCGGGCCAAAGCCCTGTCCACCTGCCTCCCGCACCTGCTCGTGGTGACGCTGTTCGTGGGCACCGGGGCCGTGGCCTACCTGAAGCCGCCCTCCCGCCGCCGGTCCAGCCTGGACCTTGCTCTGTCCGTCTTCTACACAGTCCTGCCCCCTGTCCTGAACCCCGTCATCTACAGCCTGCGGAACAAGGACCTGAGAGCCGCTCTGGGGAGGGCCCTCGGGGCCCCCGAGTCCAGCCGTAATGCCCGCGCCCTCTCTGGCCTCTAGCACTTGTGCCGCCCGCACGGGCCGTGGGGGGCTCCCGGCCAGGGAACTGGAGCCAGCGCTCAAGGTGGGGAGCCCGGGACTCAAACAGGACTCCAAGCCCGGCCACAGGCCCCTCCTGGGCTGCAGGACACCAGCACCACAAGGTTTTCTGTTCTTATAACTGTGAATCGCTTTATTTATTCTTTTAATGAAAGTTAAGGTTTTCCACATACGTGATTCCAACACATCTGTCCCCCAAAGCTCGGCTGAATTCCAGTAGCAAAATGGCTGGTTTGTGTGCAGAGTGGGGTGTCCTTTGCTGCATCAGCGAGGACGTCTCTGGGAGCACTGTTGGGGCAGCTGCCGCTTACACCGAAGGGCTCTGAGTGGGACACTCACCGTGAGGTCCATCCCCACGGGGCCTCAGCACAGCTGCGAGAAACACATGGCACTGATCCCATCATGGCCTCGGGTTCAAATCAACCTCCTCAGCCACACGGATCTTTCTTCTGCCCTTGGCCGGGGCAGACACACAACCTGCCTGCCCGGGCTGCGTGAGCCCACCATGGGGGCTGAGTGGGGGCTCCTAGTGTCGGGGGCTGTCCCCCCTGCACGGCTCAGGGGCCCACCCCCGCCTCCTCTCCTCAGCCCTAACAGGACACTGCGGGTGCCCGGACACAGAGCACCAAGCAAACGTGGTTTCGAGTCCAGCCACAGCCCCTGAGTGGACCCTGACCCTTAGCCATATCAGCATGTCCCAAGGCTGCATGACAGCTGACACATGACAGCCTGGGCACAGGCACATTTCATACGAGCCGCCAACTCCCTGTCACAGTCTGAGGACCAGTCTCACTCTCCCCCTGAGGGTGTCACTCATTCTGTCTCCACAGCAGACCCCGCAGGTACCCAGCCACCGGCGCCTCTGTGGGAACGTCCGTCTCTGTGTCCGAGGCCATGTCACGAGCCGGCAGGGAGAAGCCACAGCAAACATCTCTGGCCCAGAGCCAGGTTCCCGGGGTGAGTGACAGCTTATTCTCTGCCACACTGAGAGTTTCTCCTCTGGCCTGACTCACCTCTGTACCTCCCAGAGCCGAGAGGGGGTGTGGACCAAGCGTTTCCTTCCCCGCTGGCTAAACAGGCCCCAGGGAAGCAGAGACGCCTGTTCAGTCTGAGATCACATTATTCCAGAACAATTACTACTGCTCAGCCCCGCGGCTGCCTCTTCCTGCAGGGAACATGTGTCCTGTGGTGGAGGCTTTTCTGTGGTGTGTTTGTTGTGGTGGATACATAAACTCACAAAACATTTCTCTTTCCTTCATGACTCTGGTTGAAAAAAATGTTGAATCTAGTCCACTGATTTCTCTCCTGAATCAAATGAAATGATCAATGACCTTCAGCATTTTCCTGCTCCTGTGGTGTGACAGTTTGCTGATTTGCTTACACCAGTCAGCCCGACTGCCACGTGAATCCCATGCAAAGCCCGTGTCGTCAGGTCAGGTCAGGCAGTGGACTCACGTAGGTAGTTCTGAGCTGAGATGTCCGTGCTGGTGCCCAGCTGGGTGTGAGTCTCCGGGTCTCAGGCTCACTGTTTGACATTTGGATCCATGGAGAGTCAGCCCTGCCATGTGGAAGACCAAGTTTCCGCCTCCCCTCTGGGTCCAGGCCCAGCGTGCTGGCCCCCTCTCCACGCTCGGCCTCTAGACTGCCCATTCCCACTGGGTCTCGCCAGCCCTGCCGTTCCCCTGAGCAGGCTGGCTCGTCCACAGGCTACTTGGATGGGACAGAGACTCCTCAGGGTGGCCTGCATGTCCTGGTTCCTCAGGCAGTAGACCACGGGGTTCAGGCTGGGTGTGAGAACAGAGTAGAACACGGAAACCAGGCGCCCCTGCTTGGGGAGTAGGGAGAGGCGGACTCAGTGCCGGGCCTCTGGATGGCCACGTGGCGGTCATAGGACATGGCCCTCAGCAGGAAGCACTCAGACACGCAGAGGATGACAAAGGAAAGAGCTGGGCCACGCACTAGGCAAAGGAGATTCACTTGGAGCCCAGAAGACCGTTGGTGTTGGCCTTGGGGAGGGTGACCAGGCGCACAGTAGGGTCACAAGTAACTCAAGACAAACAATTTTAGGATCTCAAACATCTAACCACGTATTTATAAAATAAATGTTATCTCCAAGTGAAATAACAAGTCAAGTGAGAATGGCCATTAGCTCTGCTCACTCTTCTGTTGGTTATTGTTTGTTTTCATTTGGTGCTATGCCATGTGGTATTCGGGGGTGGACCTCGGTCACTTGTGGGGCTGAGCACCGTCTGAGAGTGTCTCCCAGACCTGGGCCCTGAGCAGAGGTCCTCCCTGCCCTAGCCACAGAGCCCGTGGGGAGAGGGGTCTCGAGAGCCTCGGCACCAAGGACCATGGTCAGGACTGCTCAGATGGGCTCAGACCTCAAGTCCCAAGTTTCAGGGTCTAGAATCGGGCATGATTGGTTGCAGTGGCACGGGGTCCTCTCGGACATGACCGTGTCCAAGTCCACCCGAGTTCAAATCCAAGGTGCTTCCTGGCTGGATCCCAGCAGGCAGGAAGCGACCCTCAGGTGGGGCAGCTCTGCTCCCCGTGCTCCCACTGGCCTCCTGACCTGGAACCCCACTCGGGAACCCAGATGACCTGTCCGGCCTAGCTGGTCTCCGTGTTAACACCCATCGACACTGACTGGTCTCCCCACCTGGCCTTCATCAGGACCCTCACCCAGACAGCCCACAGACCCCCCACTGCACCCACACCTGCCTCCCTGGACCCTCTGACACAGCACCCTCCCCGACCAAGTGGACACCCCTGGCACTGTTAAGGCCCGCAGAACTTGCCACTTCAGCCTCACCAGCAGGAGGCCCAGACAGGGTCCACCTAGCCGGCCTCTTCCTCCGTTTACGACACGAAGAGTCAAACCCACTGTTCAGGAAATGAGAGGGCGCTGCGGGTGTTTACTGCACAGATCTCTGGCTCTTTGTGCATGATGCCGGAGGGCCTGAGAGGCTGTGACATGTCCCCTCACTTGCACCCACCCGCCGTCCTGGCAGGAAGTCTGCAGGCTAGAGACAGCTCTGCCGGGTCTTGGGCAAACGTCATGAAAGGTGTGAGCCAGAATGACACAAGTCCCCGCTACATCACAGGCCCTGACACAGGTCCCACGCGTCTCAGCAGCGGGAGATGGTACCGGCCAGGCTGGGGCAAGGTCGCGGGGGCCCTGGGGTGGGCTCAGGTGAATGAAAGGGCAGTTTCCAGAGGAGGGAGAACCGAGAGGGGAGACCACCCTGTACAGACACAAGCTGCATGACTGGGGGTCTGTGTGGACAGGTCAGGGGTGACTCCCCAAGGTTCATTAACTGTCACCATGCGCTCCGAGAGCCTCCGTGCCAGGGTCCCAGCCCTGATGACGGCACTCCCCTCTGAGCTCCACATGCCATCTGAGGAGGCAGGTGAGAGAGGAGGAGACCAAGAGAGCGGCCAGCACTGTGCTGGATTTGGAGTCAGAACACAGATCCTGGGATGCTCTGTGGAGGCTCCTTAAGTCACCGTCTGCTGCAGGCCGTTGGCTGGGCACGGCGTCAGCACACTGGGGGGAAACATCTCTCAGGAGACACAGCGTATGAGGGGAGGGGTCAGTCATGGCCCATGGCCGGCGGCACTGGCGCTCTCAGGCACCTCAGGACCCCAAACCTGCTGCATACCTGGCTCCGTGCCACGCTGGTGCCTCTCCCCCAGGGACCCCCATTCCTCCTTGCCAACCCCACTGCTGTGTGTCCATTAACTCTGGGGCGCACTAGGCCCGCAGAACAGTGAGGCCACGTGCCCTGGCCTATGTCTCTGTCCCTCCCCGCCAGGGAGCCAGCAGGGAAGGCTCCGAGTGGTGGGTGCTGTCCCCCCTTCATGGCTCAGGGGCCCAACCTGCCTCCTCTCCTCAACCCTAACAGGACACCGTGGGCGCCCAGACACAGAGCACTGAGCAGAGGTGGTTTAGAGTCCAGCCACAGCCCCCGAGTGGACCCTGACCCTTAGCCGTGTCGGCATGTCCCAAGGCTGCATGACAGCTGACACATGACAGCCTGGGCACAGGCACATTTCATACAAGCTGCCAACTCCCTGTCACAGTCTGAGGACCAGTCTCACACTCCCCCTGAGAGTGTCACTCATTCTGTCTCCACAGCAGACCCCGCAGGCACCCGGCCACCAGCGCCTCTGTGGAAACGTCGGTCTCTGTGTTCGAGGCCACGTCACAAGCCGGCAGGGAGAAGCCACAGCAAACGTCTCTGGCCCAGAGCCAGGTTCCCGGGGTGAGTGACAATTCATTCTCTGCCACACTGAGAGTTTCTCCTCTGGCCTGACTCACCTCTGCACCTCACAGAGCCAAGAGGGGGGTGTGGACCAAGCGTTTCCTTCCCTGCTGGCGAAACAGGCCCCAGGGAAGCAGAGACGCCTGTTCAGTCTGAGACCACGTTATTCCAGAACAATTACTACTGCTCAGCCCAGCGGGCCGCCTATTCCTGCAGGGAACGTGTGTCCTGTGCTGGATGCAGGAACCGGCAAAGCGCTTCTCTCTCTAGTGACCCGAGGGCCTGTCCTGGACTGAGAGCTGGTCTGGGGCCCCTTGTCCTCCGCTGACCATAGGGGCAAAGCTCCAAGATTATCTTCCTGGAGTATGGGGTCAGCGTTCTTTTGTCTCAAAGGAGTGTCAATGCGGAAATCAGTTCTGTGGGTCTTTTTCTGCTCACTAACTCGGTTCTTATCATAAAAGGTTTTTTGAGATTATCTAATGATTTTTCTATATCAATTGTGAATTGTTGGTGTGGTCACATAACCCCCTGATCTGCTTATGTCACACAGTCACAGCGAGTCCCACAAAGCCTGTCTGAGATTCTGCACAGAAACTCAGTGGGGCAGGGAGAGTAGGTGAACTTCTCACAACGGATTTCGGGCCAACTTCTTTGGCTTGAAAGGATGTGGAAAGTGCTCAGTCTTTGTAGAGGGTCGCCTCTCCCCTGTGGGAGACTGACGTCCACTCCACCTGCTGACCAAATCAGTCATCCACAAACCATTCCTCGCATTTGCTTCCTGACTCACCTAGGTCGATGCTCAGGCCCTGTTCTTACCCTGAAAACGCCTACTTGGACGGGACAAAGAGCCTCCTCAGGGCGGCCTGCATGTCCTGGTTCCTCAGGCAGTAGACCACGGGGTTCAGGCTGGGCGTGAGAACCGAGTAGAACACGGACACCAGGCGCCCCAGCGTGGGGGAGAAGCGGGAGGTGGGTTTTAAGTAGGCGAAGCTTGAGGTGACATAGAAGAGGAAGACGGTGGCCAGGTGGGAGGAGCAGGTGGAGAAGGCCTTCTGGCGGCCTCCCGTGGACGGCATCCGGGCGATGGTGGAAATGATGAACACGTAGGAGAGGACAGTGAGGGCAAAGGCGCTGAGGATGATGCAGGTGCTGAAGATGTAGCCCAGGACCTCGTTGGTGTGGTAGTCTGTGCAGGAGAGCCTCATGATGGGGGGGATGTCGCAGAAGAAGTGCTCGATGACGTTGGGCCCGCAGAAGGGCAGCGAGAAGGTGTTGTTGGTGTGGAAGGCTGAGAAGAGCGATCCGGCCAGCCAGGCTGTGATGACCAGCAGGACACAGCGCCGCCTGCTCATCAGGACCTCATAGTGGAGGGGCCTCTGGATGGCCACGCAGCGGTCGTAGGCCATGGCCGTCAGCAGGAAGCACTCTGAGGATGCGAGGGTGAAAAACAGAAAGAGCTGGACCACACACTCGGCGAGGGAGATCCGCTCGGAGCCCGAGAGCCCGTCAGCGATGGCCTTGGGGAGGGTGACCGAGGTGTAGCACATGTCCAGGAAGGACAGGTTCTTCAGGAAGAAGTACATGGGCGTGTGCAGCCGGCTGTCCCGGCTCACAGCTGCGATGACCGAGGCGTTGCCCAGCAGGGCAAACAGGTAGATGGGCAGGAAACAGGCAGCACTGGCCAGCCGCAGCCTGGGGTCATCGGAGAAGCCCTTGAGCACAAACGCAGTCACAGCACTCCCATTGCCCACAGCCATCGCAGAGACGGGTGCCAGGGGCGGAGCACCGCAGACAGAGGACTCGCTGCCTGGCTCACACACAGGGGCCCTCGTGGTGGACAGGGACCTCCCGGGCGTCTATGTGCTTTCTTTCCTGCGGCCTCTCCGCGCCTCTCACCGGGGGCAGAGTCTGAGGGGTGAAGGGAATCAACCAGTGTTTACTCAGATGCTGATTCCACGGGCCCCAGAAAGAGCAGGCTCTGACAGGTCCACCCATTCAGCAGGAGGGACTCCCGAGGGGGGAAGGGGCTCTGACTGAAGCACAGGCCGTGGGCAGGAGGCCAGGGCCATCCCCAGCACAGGAGGGGGTGCCGGCCACTATGCCCAGACCCTGAGCTCTCACTGCTGAACACCAGTGGGTGGACTCGGAAATGCTGGGACAGGGACCCCATGCTGGGCATCAGGAGCAGGACAGCTGGTCACTGAGGGGCCCTGTGACTCCAGTCCTGCATAATGCCACCTCAGCGCCCAGACAAAACCAAAGTGAAGGGTCCCTGGGTTCCCTCTGCTCCCTCCTGGACGGACTCCCCCACCCGCTCCAAGATGCTGTGCCTTGCCTGGCCAACAAGGGGACTGCTGACCCCCTGATAAGCACCATGGACAGCAGCTGCGGGACCCCAGGGCTGCTGTCTGGGCAGGACCTACTGGCCGTGCTGACCACCCCCCGGCCCTGAGCACCTGCTGCTTTGGGGGTCCCCAGCCACCTGCACCCTGTCATTGACCACTCACCATCAGTGCCCAGGGAAGAAAGGGACACAGGCAGGAGAACGGCCGACTGGGACACAAGCTGTTGGGGGGACAGAGGGGCAGAGTTACTGGACACCCTTTCCTGGGTATGACTGCCCTGCCAGGAGTCTCCTACGCCCCCATGAAGGCCTGAGGGGCAGCCTTGAGCTTCTCCGAGCCCCCATGTGCTCTGGAGACCGCTGAGACTCCTCGAGCCCAGCGGAGATGGGCATCCAGGAGGAACGAAGTTGGGTCAGGCCCGAGGGGGTGCTCATCCAGCACCGCTGGGTCAGGCTCGAGTGGGTGCTCGTCTAGCACCACTGCCCGGAGGAAAGGGGCCCGACAGCAATGCACAGACTTAGGGAAGAGAAGCAGTTTGTAGGTTTAATGTTTCAACCACAACAAAACATTCACGGGGGGGGGGGGGGGGGGGGGGGGCGGGGGGGAAGGGATCACGGTGCCAGCGAGGCTGGGGCAAGGTCACGGGTGCCCGGTGGGCTCAGGTGAATGAAGGGGCAGTTTCCAGAGGAGGAAGGGCAGGGAGGGGAGACCACCCTGTGCGAACACAAGCTGCGTGACTGGGGGTCTGTGTGGGACAGGTCGGGGGTGACTCCCCAAGGTTCATTAACCATCACCATGAACTCCGAGAGCCTCCGTGCCAGGGTCCCGCCGGGCACAGCCCCAATGACGGCGCTTGCCTCTGGGCTCTGACTCCCCACCATTACCCGCAGCCGTTACCCTCACGCAGCTGCTTCTGGGACCACCAGCCCCAGACCCTCACGCAGCCTCCCCTGCCGCGGAGCCCCCACACCTCAGTCTGCCGACGCCTCCCTGCCTGCCGGGCGCTCTAGGGTCTGACGGTCTCCAGGCCACAGTGAGAGTCACAGTCCCTGTCCCTCCCTGTCCCTGCTTATCTGCTCCGACCCCACCCGAGGACCCATGTTGCAGCCCCGGGGGACACAGAGATTAATCCCCAGGCCTGGACTAACCAGTGCGTGGACAGCCTTCCCCAGGGCGCACCCCTGACTCGCTGCCAGCTCTCACCGGAGGCGGCAGCCGGGCGCCCAGTAATTGGCCCTCGCTCTACACTGACAAGGATATTCCCAGAGTCCAACAACAGCCCCTGAGTGAACCGTGTTTCTTAGCCCATGTCAGCATTTCCCAAGGAGGGTGGTTCCATCTTCGACAGCCTGAGCTCAGAGGACATTTGATCCAAGTTGCCAACCACCTCTGCCACATTTTGGGGACAGGCGCCAAATCTTCCCGGCACACTCTGATGGTGTCACTCATCTGTGTCCACGAGCGGACCCCAGGTCACACCATGGTGGGCTCTGTTATAAATACCTGTTCTCTGTCCAAAGCCACCCCACATGGGAAGTCTGGGAAATAAATGGTCGTCCAAGTTTCTTGATGGTGTGAAAACTCACACAGTGACGTATAGCACCACTCACTGTGAACACTGAGTATTTCCCGCCCAGGAACTAGGACGTGGGTGAAGACACTTCCTTGTATCAGCTGACCTCATTTCGATCCTGTCACCACATTTTGTACATCAGACTGTGTCAGGAGTGAACTCTGAGCATAGAGCCAGGAGCACTGGTTGGTGCAAAACAAAACAAACAAAAAAAAAAAGAGAGTGTTTCTTCTCTCAGTTTGGCTCATTTATTTGCTAATTCCTTCTTCAGTAGTTTTCAGTGGGAGTAGTTTTATTAGCATTTCGTTCACAATGGGCTAAACTGACCCATTGAGCAGAATCTAAGTTTCACGTGAGATGTAGCGTTATCCGCGCTGTCACGGCCTCCTCTGCTCTCTGAAATTGGTGACGTGGTGAATCATTCTCTCTCCCCTGGGCCTAGCTGGACAGCTGTCTGGGGCTAAGTGACTCTCAGAGAGCAACGCCCTTGGCTCTGAGCAGTTTTCAGATGTTGAGCCTTAAGGGGGCTCAGCTGTGGGCCTGCACCAGCTCCCTGGGAGACCCCCACTCCAGGCACCGGCCCGGTTCTTTCCGTGAAAGGTGCAGGATCTAGTCCACGGATTTCTCTCCTGAATCAAATGAAATGATCAATGACCTTCAGCATTTTCCTGCTCCTGTGATGTAACAGTTTGCTGATTTGCTTACCCCAGCCAGCCCGACTGCCATGTGAATCCCACGCAAAGCCTGTGTCGTCAGGGCAGGTCGGGCAGTGGACTCACATGGGCAGTTCTGAGCTGAGGTGTCTGTGCCAGTGCCCAGCTGGGTGTGAGTCTCCAGGTCTCAGGCTCCCTGTTTGACATTTGGATCCATGGAAAGTCAGCCCTGCCCCGCAGAGACCAAGTTTCTGCCTCCTCCTCGGGGCCCAGGCCCAGGGTGCCAGCCCCCTCTCCATGCTCGGCCTTTAGACTGCCCGTTCCCTCTGGGTCTCGCCAGCTCTGCCGTTCCCCTGAGCAGGCTGGCTCGTCCACAGGCTACTTGGACGGGACAAAGAGCCTCCTCAGGGCGGCCTGCATGTCCTGGTTCCTCAGGCAGTAGACCACAGGGTTCAGGCTGGGTGTGAGAACAGAGTAGAACACGGACACCAGGCGTCCCTGCGTGGGGGAGTACTGAGACGTGGGGCTCAGGTAGGCAAAGCTCCCGGTGACGTAGAAGAGGAGTACGGTGGCCAGGTGAGAGGAGCAGGTGGAGAAGGCCTTCTGGCGGCCGCCCGCGGATGGCATCCGGGCGATGGTGGAGATGATGAGCACGTAGGAGAGGACCGTGAGGGCGAAGGCACTGAGGATGACGCAGCCCCCCACCACAAAGCCCACCTCCTCGTGGCTGCGGGGGTCGGCGCAAGACAGGCGCATGACAGGGGAGCTGTCACAGAAGAAGTGCTCGATGACGTTGGGCCCGCAGAAGGGCAGCGAGAAGGTGTTGTTGGTGTGGAAGACGGCGTACAGCGCGCCGGCCAGCCAGGCCGCCAGGACCAGCAGGACACAGCGCCCCCTGCCCATCAGGACCCCGTAGTGCAGGGGCCTCTGGATGGCCACGCAGCGGTCGTAGGCCATGGCCGTCAGCAGGAAGCACTCGGAGGCACAGAGCGTGACAAACAGGAAGAGCTGGGCCACGCACTCGGCGAAGGAGATCCGCTCAGAGCCCGAGAGACCATTGGCAATGGCCTTGGGGAGGGTGACCGAGGTGTAGCACATGTCCAGGAAGGACAGGTTCTTCAGGAAGAAGTACATGGGCGTGTGCAGCCGGCCGTCCCGGCTCACAGCTGCGATGACCGAGGCGTTGCCCAGCAGGGCAAACAGGTAGATGGGCAGGAAACAGGCGGCACTGACCAGTCTCAGACTGGGGTCATCGGAGAAGCCCTTGAGCACAAACGTGGTCACGGCGCTCCCATTGCCCACAGCCATTGCAGAGACGGACACCCGGGGCAGGAATAAGCCGGATGGTGGAGGGCCTGGGACCCAACATGCACCCACTGGAGTTCCCAGCTGGTGGACACTGAGGTTCCTCGCTGGACTCATGGCCTCTCTCTTCCAGGTGCTTTCTCTCCTGCGGCCTCTCCGCACCTCTCACTGGGGGCAGAGTCTGAGGGGTGAAGGAAATCAACCAGCGTTTACTCGGATGCTGATTCCACGGGCCCCAGAAAGAGCAGGCTCTGACAGGTCCACCCGCTCAGCAGGGGGTCTCCTGAAGGGAGACGGGGCTCAGATTGAACACAGGCCGTGGGCAGGAGGCCGGGGCCATCCCCAGCACGGGAGGGGGTGCCAGCCGCTATGCCCAGTCCCTGAGCTCTCACTGCTGAACACCAGTGGGTGGACTCGGAGATGCTGGGACAGGGACCCCATGCTGGGCATCAGGAGCAGAACAGCTGGTCACTGAGGGGCCCTGTGACTCAGGTCCTGCATGATGCCACCTCAGCGTCCAGATAAAGCCAAAGTGAAGGGTCCCTGTGTTCCCTCTGCTCCCTCCTGGACGGGCTCCCCCACCCACTCCAAGATGCTGTGCCTTGCCTGGCCAACAAGGGGATTGCTGACCCCTGATAAGCACCATGGACAGCAGCTGCGGGACCCCAGAGCTGCTGTCTGGGCAGGACCTACTGACTGTGCTGACCCCACCTCTGGCCCTGAGCACCTGCTGCTTTGGGGGTCCCCAGCCACCTGCACCCTGTCACTGACCACTTACCATCAGTGCCCAAGGAGGAAGGAGACGCAGGCAGGAGCACGGCCGTCTGGGACACGAGCCGCCTGGGGACAGAAAGGGAGAGTTACCGGACACCCTGTCCTGG